ATATCCAATTGTTGCCTACCAGCACTTCAAAGCCATTTTTAATCTTCTTTTCAGTTAGCTTAATCATAAAATCAAGGTATTAACTTGATCACACATTGAAACTGGGCCGCACAGTTCTATTTTTCTATGGCTGCACACTTTCCTGATTAAGCTGAAAATTCTTGTATGTTTTGGCACAAACTCAGGCATGCTTACAAATTTGTGAACAACTTGGTCAAAGATTTTTGTAAAACTGTTGTTTTTACCAGGGGTTTTAAGAAGCGAAATGTAAGTTAGGCCCTCATCCAGCCAACATGTACATATGGGGGTAACTTTACAACAGTGAGTAGTCTCATTAAAGTACAGTATAGTAGTAAAACTACTTGCATACAATCAGGACCCTTCTTCATACCATGTAAACATGCTCTATATCATATAAGTATGATATAGAGGACCTTGTCTATTTTAGCAGGAGCTTTGCCTGGGTCAGGAAAGCAGAATTAGGCCCTCTATTTGTAAGTGAAAACAACATGAACATTTGTTGGAAGAAAATTACAGTGACTTGCAGCCATATGCCCGGAAAGAAAGTCTAAGTGTGACATTTCAGAAGTGTTCTCATTGCTTGCTGGCACAGTGTATTGGAACAAACTTTTCAGACGAGTTACTGATTTCAGGAGGTCTGTGTGAGAATGTGGGCACAATCACGCTCTTAGAGATGCTATTCTTACATTTACAGCCAAATAGAAGACTTCAAAATTTCAAAAAATTATGGAGATTACTAATATGCTATTTAGGGATATAGTCTAATTTCAGCTAGAATACCAAAACAACAAGTCTTGCTTGCTTGCTTCTTTTTTTTTAAACAAAATTTATTTTTATACAGATCTAACTTCCATTCTCCTTGACACCTATATAAAAACAAAAATCTTTTATGGACCAAATCCGCTCTTGGGTACACTAACTAGAATAATCTGATTTCTATATACTTCATTGTACTTGTGCATGGAATTTCAGTGGGAGTTGCAGCTGTTCATCTAAAGCAGAACCCTTAGGATTAAGTCTTATATCTATTCAAATTCCACATCCTCTCTAATACTAGATAGTCTTGAAAAGTCATTTCCCTTATTAGACACAAACAGCTTTGGAATTTTCTCATTGGCAAGTAGCAAAGATGTAAAATGTTTTTTCACCTACTTCCATCATGCCAAAACTTTGGAATAAAGAAGCCTGATTTGACATACATTGAAGATGAAAAACTAATCATTCCAGCAGTAAATTTAAATAATTCTGAAAAGACCTTACATCTTTTCACCAGCTAAACACTTTAACCCATTAACACTTTTAATTAAATGACAAACAAATCTGACTTTTTGCTGCAAATCCCTTGACATTACTTTTACATTATTTTGCTTGATCCAGTTCAGAAAAAAAAAAATTCTGTGCTCAGAGTAAACCTACTCTTTCAGTAAGCTTTCATAAATCCAGAGTAACTCCATTGAACTGAAAATATGATTCACTGGGCATGTCTACATGTGCAAATAATACTCAGAAAACTGACTGCGCAGGAAAATACTGCACAGTAAAATACTGCACAGTAAGCGTGCACCCATCAGAAGCAAATTTGCTCCTGGCAGGAGCAGTTCAGGGCAGGGATAGTCCTGTCCTGCCTGGCTACTATATGGCAGCCACAGGGAGCTCTACACTCCCTTGGGCTGGCAGGTGGCACCAGTGTCAGGCCTGGACTTTAGGGGGTGGGGGGGAACTGTCCCATCTTCAGGGCAACTGCCTTTCCATCCCCACCCTTGCCCCAGGCAGCTGCCTGCTGTCCAACCCCTGCTATGATCATGGAGTTAGGCCAGGGCAATGTCCACTGCTCCTGCAGCAGGCAGCTCTCAACCCCTAGCTCCATCATCAGAGCTGGGGGCTGGGACATTGCTCCCTGCTCCTGGCAGCTTCCTGGTACCAGGGCTGGCTCTGATTGCAGAACTGGGAGGGGACAAGTCCCCTTGCCCCTGCAGCAGGCAGGTCCAGCCCCTGGCTCCAAGAACATTGCCTCCTACTCTGGGAGCTGCCCCCTGCCCAGGGAGCAGCCTGCTGCAGGAGGTTATGTCCCAGTTCCCATCTTCGATCTTGAAGCTAGGGGCTGGACCTGCCTGCTGCAGAGGCAGCGGACATTGTCCTGGCCTGGCTCACTGACCAGAGCTGGCCCTAGCAGCAGGCAGCTCCCAGTGCAGGGGCAATGTCCCAGTCCCCAGGTTTGACCTTGGAGCTGGGGGCCAGACCTGCCTACTGCAGTAGCAAGAGGACATTGTCTCCACCTTGTCCTGCGATCAGAGCTGGCCCTGGCAGTAGGCAGTTCCCAAGGGAGGGATTGTTCTTCCTCCCTCTGCTGTCTGGGCTGACCCAGAGCAATTTGCTCCAGGTTAGCTATGTAACCATGTGCTACTGCACAGTAAATCTACCTGTATTTACAGGTAGTATAAAACTACACAGTAGACTAATCTACTGTGCAGTAGCTCAGTGCATGGTTACATAGTGATGCTTTACTGTGCAGTAGATTAGTCTACTGCACAGTAAAGAATCTCATGTAGACATACCCACTATCTATGTTAATGTTGTTTTAACCACTCATTGCTTAATGGTGTTTTGCTGCAACCATTTTTTTCCAGAGTATTGTTGGGTTTGGAGTGCCATCTGGAGGTTGCTAGCCATATCAATTTAAATGCTTTCATACTGAATTACAAAATCCTCACAAATTATAACTGAGATGTTACGGAAGGTTGAATAAGAACTATGTCCCATCAAGGGCTAATGGCAAAGCATTTGGATGGTGCAGTCCTCCTTCCAACCTATTTGCAGTGTTGTGTTCCTCCATCTCCAGAATGCATTACTGTGGTACCTTAAAAGGTTCAGTCCTTTCCTCCACCCTTAAAACATGTGAAGTTAGTAGGGAACCTGTTAGATCCAGCAGAGCCTTAAATGGCAGTAGGTGACGGTGTCACCTACTGCCAGGTCTACAGTTTCTTTACCCCTAGCACAGAGAACATTATATGCCAACTATCCCCCTGTCTCTCTGAAGTCCCATCGACTTTCTATGAGACTTGGCTCCTTGTTGTTAAGTTTGTCTAAGTTCTGGCATGCTACAGTCTGAAATAGCTGCAACTGCAAAAAAAAAATCTTTGCACCTAAGTCTGACTAGAGCACTTCATGGCTTCAGGTGATAAACCATGCTTCAGTATTACATGGCTTCCCGGTCTTCAGTAGATTTAATCTGTTTCACTGGTGCTGAGCCAGAGTCATAAGCAATTTCAGTGCCCTGAGCAAAGCAAGGGGAGAGGGGTTGTGCCAAGCACCAGAGAGCAGGGATGTGGTACAATGTTGGGTGTTGTTGGTACCCCCTTTAAATTGGCATCCGGGGATGGTACCTCAGTCACCCTGCCCTAGTTATGCTTCCAGGCTGATCATTCTACCTGTAAAAAGCTAAAATTGGCTTCTAAAATGGCCATCTTCCTTGCATCACCCCAATGCTCTGCTCAACTCTGAATCCTTATAGAACACCAGATCAAAACCAAAGTTTTGCTCTTTACTTTCAAAGGCCACTAAGGAAATGGCTCTAGGTATTATAGAAAATGTCACCTTCACTGTGACAATGGTCTACTTTCACAGCCAAGGTCTCCAGGAGCTACGAATCTCTTTAATTCAAGGATGAATGTTTATAGGGGTGTGAGACTAGATTTTGGGGGCTAGTCTTATCTGCAGCTCTCTTTCCTGCCATGCCTTGCTGGAATTATTTAACTTGGAAACAGGGAGGCTGCCCAGGCCCCAGAGTAGTTTCTGATCTGCTTTTGGTCAGTGTACTAGAAACTTAAGCCTTATGGGTCAATTTCATGGTCTCCAACCTCCCATCTAGCCACACCCATGCCTTCAAGGTGTTAACTGTTAATGTCTAATTGGGCATAGCAGGCTTGCAGCAGGGTCGCAGTCCCTGCTCAATATGGCCTCTGTATCTTTAAAAGTGCCAGTGGGTTTGCAGCCCTAGGTCAACATGTGGCCCACTCCAACCTCTGCCTCTTATGGGCTAGACTGTAGCTTGTTCCCTGCCATGGCAAGCCCAAGGCTCCTTGTGCCTTCCTGGCACTATTGGGGCCTCCAGCTCCCCTTGCTAGTACCAACACAGTCCACCTGTAATAACCACAACAAAAAGGTAAACCCCCCAGCTGTAACTCAACTAGAAGTGCCCAGCACAGTTGCAGTCAGCAGGGCAGTGGAGTTCCCCAGCAGTCCCTCAGCTGCAGTTACTGTCATGCAGAGCTCCTTCCCTGGCAGCTTGCAGAGCCAACCTCCTTCTCTGGCCTCAGCCTGGAGTTATATATTGACCAAGCCATGAGCCTGGGAATCATGAACTTTCTTTTGATCCAGTGCAGGTGTTCTCTGCACTAGCAGTTTCCCTCTTCTCCTCTGTCCTACGGTATTCTTGGTGTGCTACCAGCACCACAATAAGTATTCTGCCCTATTGCCTTACTGCAGAGCCTCTGGTTCTGCACTGGGTGCCTGCAGCCTATCAGTCTTCTATGGACTGGCCTCTCCTGTACACTGTTCAGTCCCCAGCTCCCTGTTAAAATTAGTAGACAGAAAACAACAACTTGCCTCACTATAGCCCAATGATTTTTGAAAATGAAAAAAGGAATATGATTCTGCAAGATGTTGTGATCTTCTTTAGTTATTTTAGGATCTCCCTTTGTTGTTTGTACTCAGTAGATAAAAACATGCAGCAGAAGATGCATTCTGGCTCCTGTTCCCTCTGAAATTAATGGCAAAATTACCATTTGACTGTGATAGGAACAAGATTGGGCCCTGTAGTATGAATAATACATATGTTTATCTGCTTTGACCTCTCCCCCAAAGTGAAAACAGGACTTCCTCAAAAGGCTTTCAGGAACAAGGTTCATTTTTACTCTTGAAAAAATGTCATGTGGAGCAATGATACCAGTCTTTCTGGGAAACATTTGATGCATTACGACTCCACCTACTACATTCCTTAATATGGATTCTTGCAAAAAAATGTTGGTGGCATTTTCTCTCTACCACTAACAAGGCTGAAGCTCATTTTCAAGTTTCTTCTTTCGTCCTCCACTGTTGATGAAATAATCCATGTTCACTAGCATCCTGCCCAATTCAGTGTTCATTCTGCTGCCGATAGTCTGGTTGGTGGTGTTGGGGATTGTTTCGGAAAACACAGAAACAAATTTTGGCAGTGGTTTCTGCTCCTTTTTCTTGCCCTAGGTAACATACATAAAAAGAGTGTTACAGATTATGTTTTCAAAAACATGTATCTTCCATTTTCAAAAGAGACTTCAGCTTTGCAGTGCCCAAATCACTTTGGAAAAGTTATTAAGAATTTTGGAAATTTTCTCCTATGTCTTATTCACTAAATGTATGTGAACATGCTGTGTAGATGCAGTACAATTAATTATCATTAACTGAAATCAAGGAGAATCCAATCATCTTCTGAGAAGACTGACCCGTATTTACTGTTGAAAGGAATAAAAATCCCAAACAATGATCTCCAACAGAGCAGAGAGAGGACAGTTTTTCTAAATATTAAATTGAGTACCCAGCATTTTATGTACAGCTTTCATCAGAAGGCAGTTTCAGATTGTCTCACTGAATTGTCCACTGGTTAATTGTGTTGTTATTCGTTATTTTAGAGTATAAAGGCGGGTAGTCCTGTGACTTTACGTAGGCAGTTTCCCAGTTACTTCAGTAAGGAGGTTTCAATTATTCCAGTGAGGAGTAAGAAGGGCTGAAGGACTGGGACCAAAATAATTGGGATGCACTTTTGTAAAAATACCTCCCCCCTCCCCATCCCACCCCCTTCCCCTTAAAATACACAATTCTGTTTGCAGTCAGGACTTACAGTCCCCATTTGAAATCAATGTTATTTTTTTACCATTGACTTTCATGGGAGCAAGACATTCCAGGAAAATTCATTGACTTCAACATTTCACAGGCTATCAGTCAAAAGAGAATGTGGCCATATTGTGGCAGTGATTTTTTTTCTTTTTTTATATATGTTTCAGCTTCCTTTTAAATGCTTACCCACTTATGGGCTTTGTTAATTATTTAAAAGAGAACTAGAACCCACACGTTGCATTTAATCTGTTTAGCACAAATATAGCAGATGACTGGCATTTCACATCTCATATTTACTCCCAGCTCTTAATCTTAAAGCAGTTGACAAATTACATTCGAGGGTGTTTCAATTAAAAAAGCTAGCCTACTTCAAACTGTTACAAACCAAAAGAGAACTTGTGTTACAGTTAGTAGTTTATCTCTAACTTACCAATGGGTCATAGTCCTTCAGGAAACTCCAATTTTGGTACCTAGAAATAGAACCCAAGATTTTTACTTTAGTGACGTGATCCTATTAGGTACTTTATTTTTTATGTTCTATTTTTGTAAATCAACTGAATGCTGTATCACAGAATCACTGTTCTTTTTTGGTTGCAGTTTTATTTTAAACAATCCATTACTTTTTGGTTTTTCTTTCTAAAAGAGAATTGAGTAGATGCAGTGTCAGAATTGGCTAGTTTTTTAACCATAAATGCTTGCCATTCCTGTGTGTGTCCTACTGAAAAGAAGGGTGCATTAATGGAAGACCCCAGTCACAGTGTATAAATGCATAGTAAGAGACAGTACGTGTATTGAATAATAAAAAGAAGAGTTTCTACTTGTATGTTATGAGGAAACACTGTTCATTCCACAGAAATAGATAATGATGATAGTGTCTTCGCCTTTAATATAGATCATATTTTGGAGGCTGTTTCCTCCCCTCTCTCTCTCCCTCTGTCTTCTCTCATAATGCCAGGTTCTTTTACCTAAGTCACAGGACCTGACCATTATAATAAAATCAGACTTCTTTTTTTAGAACCAAACTACAATTTCATCTTAGAATGAATCCAATTTTGAATTTGTATTCAACTTACTTGCAAGCTAATCATTCAAGTTCTTATACCATGCTCATCTGAAGTGAGCAACATTGTGGAAGCAAAATATGGGACACTGTCCTGGATGCTCTACAGACAGGCAATGAAACTAGACTTTGCCACTTCTGGTGCCAGCTAGTGTAGATGCCTTAATACAGCATGGCAGACGAGGGAATTTGGTCTTTTAAGGGACAGTTGCCGCCTGCATCAGAAGCAGTAGAGCTGCATTCGTGTGATGCCAGGCAATGTGCTGATGTGTCCTCTTGATAGACATTACCTGATGCTGAGTCAGGGCCAGATTTTCAGATTTGTGATAAAAATCCCATTGCAAGAGTTGTTGGAAACACTACAATAAAGCCCTGAAATTTATGACTGTGTTTCCTCTTCTACCCGCCTCTCCCCTGCCCAGCCCCTCCCTCCAAGCATCCTCTCTGAAGTGAAAAAGCCACGCTGGTACAAGTGTAATATTGGTGGTATTACTATGCCTACACAGTAACTAGGGGTTATTGCCAGCACAGCTATCAGGTTTATGCCTTCTCTTGGAGCATGATTCTGTAGCCAAGTAGCTTGGCCACTCAGCTGAAGTAGCAGAAGGCCGGGAATCTGGTCTCTGCTCCTGTTTCTGTACTTGGGGACTGGTTTCCATGATCCAGGAAGTCTTTCTGGCCTGGGTTCCTTGGTGTGGGCCAACCCAGCTATGTTGGCAGAAGCCCCTAATATAGATCTAGACCAAGCTGTATGAGCAAGTAAGGGCAACTACCTGCAACAATGTTTTGTGCATCCAGCAGTAGAGATACAAGCCTAGTACTGAGAATCAAGAAACGGATTCTGTTCCCTGGCTCCACTACCAACTTGCCATATAACTCTGGGCACATCCCTTTACAGACTGTGTTGAGTTTCTGCATCTTGAAAATGGAGACAGTGAAAGTTTACCTTTCTGTAAGGTGCTACAACAGCTATGGAGGGAAAGTGCTATTATGGCATTGATAAAATAACAATGATAATTACTATAATAGCAAGGATAATTATATGTATTTGCATTCCTGTACTGAGAGAGGCCCCAACTATGGGTCTCCACTGCTCTGGGCATATATACAATATCTGTATCCAGAGGTACTAGCAATAGAGAAAAGCTTGGGCCTCTGCAATTTAACCCATTCACTTGCAGTCTGGTTTTCTTGTCAGGCCACTAGCAGGCAAAGGACTTCTCTTATCCTAAGTGTTCTGTGTGTGTGTATGTGTGTACATGAGTGCACACATGTATATGTATGTAGAAGGTGGGGGGTGTGGATCTGGAACAGCTGGTGATATTTCTTTCAGCTCTGCCTCTAGGAGAGATAACAAAAAAATTAAAAGTATGTCACTGAAAAAAGAAATACTGACATGGTTTTTACTTACTCCAAGAAGCTGAGGAGTAAGATAAGTTACCAGAAGATGTATTTCCTCATTCCTATTAAATCCATCCAAGCGCCTTCTCCTCTCCTTCCTCCCTGGTACCTGGGTAAGGCTGGCATACAATTACAACTCAAGCCAATCTTGGTTTCACAACGGACATTCTTGTAACCAGCCTGTTTATGTTGCACATCAGAGATTTGAATTCAGATATTCTGAGAGGCATCTTAATGCTTGGTTCTTTCAACTCAGCAGTGTATACCGTCTGTCAAAGCATAGTTTATGACCTGCATGTGCTGAACACCCTGCTGATGTATTCATAACAATGGGATTTTCCCTGTGTGTATGTTTGCATGTGGGTTTGTGGCATGCAAGAGATTTACGGATTTGAAATACAGTAATTTTTGGCAGGACAGTCTGTCCAGGCTCTATTTCAGCCATTTCCAAGTAGTAGAGGACAAGCAATAATATCACTCTCTGTGATAAATTACAAATGCGTCACGACATAGCCTGGCTCTGTGGACCTCCACGTAAAGCTGAGCAGTATCCAGCATGCTGTCCCTTTGCACCTCCATTACAGCTCCAGCCTGACATGACAGGAAATACTTTACTTGTGTGTTTTTGAAAAATGAAGAAAACAGAGGAGAAATGTGGTCTTAGCAGCAGCTGGATTCACAGCCTCATAAAAGCCTATGTAGTGCAAGTCTTTCCATTGATATATCGAGCTTTGCATTAGGCCCTTGGTCTGTGGGGAGCTGCAGTAGCACTGTTAAGAGGAGAATGTGATGTTGGACTCAAAGTACTTACCAACACTTTCTTCCCCTCCATTCGGCCTCCACAAACTCCCTCCAAATTTTGTCCTGTCGAACCTGGTCCTGCTGCAGGGCTACTTGTTCTTCCTCCCGGGCCCGGGCTGCCTTGGTGGCTGTAACAGCTCTTCCAAGCTGGGTGCTGCTGAAAGCAGGAGATGAGGATGAGGATGAGGCCAGTTCCACCAATGATTTGGTTGCTGATAACTGGTACCCAGCTGAGGTGTTTCTGAATCCAGGTGATCTGCTCCCCATTGTGTGTGTATCTACTCTCATGTAAGATGGTGTCACCACTAGGTAGGTTAAGAGGAGATGCTTGCCAGATTCATCCACCCCACTGCTCTCTCTCCTCTCACCCTAGGCAAGTAAAAGCACAGCTCCAACTGTGACTGTGTACTATTTTTATTTCCCCTTTGGTTAAGCAGCACTTTCTACTAGCAGCTTCACTATAGCAAGAACTTTGCAAAGAACACTTGTTAGAAGAATAAAGATCCTGGCTGTAAACAGCAAATCCTAATGCTCAGCTTGAGAGACCAGTCAGCGTTGGGTGCAGTTGAGACCACGCTCCATGTTGCATTCCCAGTCCCCAGGATAGGTGCTGAGCTAGCAGCAAAGTCTGCTGTAGAGAATGATGTTGAGTTTGTCAGGCTTAGGTTTTTGTTCTGTTTGTGCAGCAGAAATAAACCCCCTGATGACTGCTGGTTTCCCCAGTGTGTTTACTGTTGCCATTGGAAACCAGGCTTGCTCATGAATATTCATTGATAAGGGAGTAGAAACTAATGGAAGCAGCTATTGGGATCTTGACTTTGTGCTACTCTTCTTAAGACAGAGTTGCCTTTTCTTTAAAATAAGCAAGGACTTCTTTCCCAGACCTGAGGAAGTTCACTTTGTGTCTAAATGCTTTTCTAATATCTCTCCTAACTAGTCCAATAAAAGATATTACCCAAGAAACCTCTTCTTGAATATTTTCTGGATCATCACAGCTTCAGTACTCCTAATCTGCTTTAAAATAAGGTCCTTCTGTGAATCAACCTTAGTTTTACACTTTTGAAAGCCTCTTAATTTTAGGCCGAAGAAAGAAAACAACTGAGTAGCAGCCCTGGACAATCAATAATCTGTTCTGGAGAACTGATATTACTTTCTTATAGCTTTTTGAGAAAATAGGACACTGGCTGCTAAAAGTCCCTGGACATGCTGTGGCTAATACACTTAACTGGAGGCTGGAAGCATACAACTGCCTCCTGCCTTATTTGCCTGGTAAATTGAATTCGCTGTATATTTCCCCTAGTGAATAGTTTCACTGGATGAAAAATAAGGGGGGGCTCATGGTATACACAAATATTAATTCAGTGAATGGTGTTAAAAAAATGAACAATTTCAGAAAGTCAGATTGTTTCACTTAAAAAAATTGATTTTTTAATTTCTAAATGTTCTTGTTTTGAAACTTGCAAAAAGATTAATTTTTTTTAAAGGGTTAAAAAACTGAAAGCAAAACAAAATATTTCATTTCAGGTCAAATTAAGTTTAGGGTTGGTTGGCGACTTTGTCTTTCCTGGGAAAAACCAAAAAAAGAAGGGTTTGTGGTTGACCCCAAATAAGTTTTTCTTTTTCTTTTTTTTTGGTTTCACTAGCAGACCACCATTGACTTCCATTTGAAATATTAGAATAGAGTCTCAGACAACTCAGTATAATTTTTGTGCCACTCCTATGTATTCTCCCAATGCTGGTTTGTCAGCCGCTAGCTGGTCTTCATTCAAGACTTTTTCACCCTCATTTCTTCAGTGAGTTAATAATAAGTAAAAAAAAAACAAACCAAAAAACCAAAAAAACCCAACCCTGTATTTTTTTGCATAGCACACTCCCCCAAATAAGACATGCATCTTGTTTTGATGAAAGTAGGATGAAGAAAAAAAAGATTTGTTTTTCAGAGTTATGGCTCCATAGACCAGGGACAGAGTCTAAACTTCAAATCACTGACCCTCCATTTCCTGAATAACCAAAGCTGAAACCCTAGCTACTGCTGAAGACTAGTTCCCATGGGTACATCTGTGATATTGAAAAGAGATCAAAACAGTCTGCAAGGCTGTGAAACAGAAGAAGAGAGACCAGGAGTAGCTAAAAGACAGCAAAATTGCCTGAAGAAAGGTTAGCTTGATTAGGGAAACATGAAGACCATTAAAAAGAAGAGACAATCATTAACGCCTGTAGGATGCAGAGCCAGTTGACTCCCTCAGCTGCCTGAACAGAAATGCTACCGCTGCTGCCAGGTGAAGCAGGAATCAAATCAGGGTACTTCTGTTCTGAGCAGAAAATCAGCTTCCCCACTTAAGATATGCACCCCATTTTGAGGGGAAATAGTGTGTATAGCATGCAAGTCAATATGGTACTCATAGGGGGAGTTATTGTTAAACTGTAACCCTTGCTAGTTCTATATCAGCAGGCAGCCTTTGGCTGTGCTCCGTGGAAGTGCGGCTCTAGTCTCAAATCTGGGTAAACTTATGCAAACTTCTGTACCTGTGGAATCCCATTTAAGTGGCATCCTGCACAGATTCACATGATCAAACTCTGCACCTTGTGGAATCCTGTTACTAAAGAGAAACCGGAAGTCAAAGGAAGGTCTGTAGTATTATGACCCCACTAACTGAGAAGAGAGGGTAGATCTTAGTAGGCTTAAACAGTAGACTGCAATTTTACTCCAATGCAGAGCAGGACTATACATGGAAGGGTAGATGTTTTACAGCATTCATGCTGCTTCTCAGGACACAGTGGGCCATGGGAGATCGCTGCGGCCACTTCTGGGAGCAGCTGCAGTGATCAATCAGATCTTGCAGCAAGGTACCGGCGCTCCTGCCTGCCCCCCCCCGCCTATTGCCTAAGCAGTGAGCGTGGCCAGTCAGGGGGTGCACCGGTGCTCTCAGGGGGTGCACATGCACCCCTGTGCACCCTCTGTGCGTCGCCACTGCAGTGGGCATGTCTGCATGAGACACTACTGCACAGTAGTTACCGTGCATTCATTTAGTACTTGTATAAGCAAGTACTAAATGAATGTACAGTACCCGGAGTTACTGCACAAGAGACGCTAATGGGCAGTAGCCTAATACTGCTGCACAGTAGCGTCTCGGCACGGTTTTTGCTACATGATGCTACTGCACAGTAGTATCAGGCTCCTGAGCAGTCAGCTTCTCATGTAGATGTGCCCAGTGTATAGGACTGGGAGAACAGGGCTTGGAAGTCATAAAAGGAAGTAGCTATATACCATTAATATGTAGCAGGCTGAATTTTCAGCATCCTGTTTTGGATATTGTTCTGAAATTTCTTGCTGCATGCCCAAATCATTCAGTAGTGCCATTTAACAAAAATGATGTCTTAAAGGTATACTTGCAAATAGTGCCCTATTTTCCCCCAGTTATTACGTGCCTTTGTAATGTTTATGATTGCTAAGCAGTGGACATTCCCGTAGAAGGAGATGACTAACTGACATATCATGCGTTTCTTTTTATGGCATTCTTTATAGGGTTAAATTGATGTTTGCTGGGGCTTGATGTGCTAGGAATTTTAATGTGACCTGATTTTAATGTGCCTATGTATTTTTGGCTGGGGAAGGGGGGAGATTTTTATAAATGACTCAGGGGTCTGTTGCATGTGGTTCCTTCAGCAGTCCTGTATCTAGATACTGGCAGTATAATTAATTCCTAGGAAGATTTTACATTATGTTCTTTATTAATAGTTATCCAACCAGTGGTGATTTGAACAGTGAAATATTACTGGAAAAATCAAATGTATGTAAACTGCTGTTTCCCTAAAGAAAAAAAAAAAATTTCCGTACAGGTAATTTTAACTTGACCACAAGAGGGTATTGTCGTTTAAGTTATGCAGAATTTAAACCAATGAACTGTAACATGCATTGTCTTACTTCTAGTACATAAGTTTCTCCAAAATGATCATTTAAACTACATAGTAGTGAGAAGAAATATATTTTAAAATCAGCATCTGCTTTATTGATCCAGCAGCAATTTCTGATCTGCATTTCATAGAGATCATTTTGGTTGGTGAATTTGTCACTGGGACCTTCATCCCCTAATGGTGATGGAATGAGAAGAGGGAACCTGCACTGATTTTATAGGAAGAGTAAGAACTTACTAATTAGAAAGCATCATTTTTTAAAATATTTAATGGAAATCACTTGAAAAATACGAAAAATCATTTAATTTTTCTACTCTAGAAGGAAAATAATATCAGTACAGATTTTGGACTATGGGTGTAGGGA